GGCAATGATATTCTTTGGATGACCTGAGTAGATATATTTGAAACTGCCCAAAAGGGAAAGCAGGGGATTCCAGTGGCCACAGATCTTGACTTGGGACTGAAATTTATAGAATTTAGGCTCTCCCAAAATGTTGGTGCACTGACAAATCAATGCAGATACAGTATTGCAATGCAAAAAACAAAACAAAAAGAAACAATTGAAAAAGGATTAATAAAATAAAAGAGAAGGAGAAAGCAAATTATTAAATAAAGGGAGTTCAATCACTCCATTTTATTAAAATACCAACCTGATTATTACATGGGAGCGTCTTTTATACTCAGTCTTTTGTGTCTCAGGAAGCTTTGATTAGTGAAAATATTAATTAACTAATCAAATTTGCCTATTAACTTTTTAATTGAAAAGTTGTAGGTTTAAGAGCCTGCATTTACCTATTTGATAGTTGTCTTTTTCTTGAACAGTGAATAGTTCTTCCACATTGATAATTCAAGAACACATAGCATTTGTAGATTAAGGTTTGAAAGAACTTGGGATTTGTGATGGTGAGAGCTAAAGTAGGATTTTGTCTCGAAGGAGCAGCATTTCTTTTGAAGTATTGAAGCAAGAAAGGATATTAAGCTGAAAGAAGATTCCATCCTAATTTAATGTCATGCATGATTTTGCGACACTTTCAGTGGAACACTCAAAACACAGTTGATATTTTCTGCTGCTTAAAATGGACACTTCAAATAACTGCAAAGGCAGTGAGGCAACAATAGAGTTCTGTTATACTGAGGGAGAAGGCAACAGGAATTCTGCACTGGAGTTGTAAATCTTCTGTTTTAAGGCCTTTCCAGGGGCAGTGCTCTATTTAAAGGTGACCATAATCCTCTTGCACAACATATGCCTGCATGGGAGAAATGACATCACCACCACAAGAGATCTTCACTAATTAAGAGTTTCTAGTACAATTCTTTGTGGGATTCTCATTGTGTGAGAGTTGGGTGGCTTCATCCACAACATGGAATTTCCTGCTTGAATTCTAAGTCATGTACAAAACCACCTGAGTCACATGCAATGAGGAATCATAACAAGGAATTGCTGCAGAGCTTTAGCAATCTGTTGCTGCAGTGGCATCATTTCCCTGATACCAGCATAAATTATACAAGAGGATCTTGGTCATTATATCTTTGGGCAACTTAGGAGAGTTCCCAGGCCTTTCCCTCCTGGACTGACCATAGGCTGAACCTTGGCGAAACATGGTCAATGAAGTGTCTGCTGCTCTTGAATGCAAACATGAGGCTTTGAAATTGGAAAATCTAGTCAAGGGGGACTGTAGTCAAGACTGTAGAATTGTCCTCTTTTCTGATCTTTTACTCGGTTAGAGTAATTTAAGCTATCCTTGCTTTCCAATGCTGTGATGCTGCTTTTGAATAGCAGATCACTTGCAATGACATATCTATGACCCATTATTTAATTACAGCTGAAGGGGTGGACTTGTTGTTTATGACACAAACCTTGATAATTGACATGGATAAATTAATCTGGCTGGATGGTGCAGACTGAGCACTACCAAAATAATAAGGAAGAGGAATCATAAGGATTCTAGCATCTGCTGCATAAGACCTCTTCAACTGACCTGGATTTGATTGCTTATACCGGGTGGCGAGCCACCAATTATTCTCAGCTACCAACCACTCTGCTATATATTTGTCTCCAACAGGGGTGATCTCAGGCATGGAAAATCCCAGAACACTTATCCTAGGGGACTAGAATATCCATACCAATGGTACTGTAAGGGCCATTATCTACTGCC